AGATGAACTATAAAAAAATAGAAGTGTAGTATAAAAAATAGAACTGTAGAACATTATTCAACTAGCACTAAATTTATTTAAAATATATAAATATACATACATATTTATTCTATCCATTCAACTCCCTATAATTGTTTGATTTATTATATACAAAATGAAATTTAAAACATGCATTTCTCAATTAACTGCAAATATTTTATCATTAATTGACTCTCGAATTCCGAGCATAATTGGCTGCCTGCCGGCCTCTCTGCTGGCAGGCAATCCCTGTGCACGGGCAGGACACGCGACTAAAAGTGCTAGCATTTGCATACCCTACAATTTCCGAGTCGCTTATCGTTGCCAAAAATCAAGCCACACGCGAAAACCAAACAAAAAACTGAACACTTAACCCTATGAATGTGGAATGGGCCCAGCCAGTTAGCCAGCCAGGCTGGGTCAGCCGCCGAAGGACCCTAATTTCCAGGTCGCTTGTTGTCATGTCACGACAATTAAATATGTTCAATGCGCTTTTGCGCGATTTAAATTAAGATAATGCGGCAAATTAGCGACCCGAAATGTTTGCATAATTATCAACTACAAACATTTTCGACTGTCCGAGTTATCAGCGAGCGTCGATCATTTGTCACAGATGTTGCATTTCGGGTCACAATTATGCTCTAGGGGCGACAGCCCGATGACTTGAGCATTTCCCCAGTTGACTTTGTTTTTTCCTTTCACAATTTTCATGTGCAAGTGTGAGTGAGAACTGCGGTGGCTTATAAGCAGCGTAACCTTTTAATTTAACCCTTGCCGCAACTTGTGGCATGACACCACAGAAATATGCCATGCCAAAAACTGTTTTCCCTGCAAGGTGACATATTGGTTTTGCGATAAGCATCGGTAAATGCATGTGGGCGAAAGGGTTGCGCCCGGCTAACGAAAGGGTTAACAGCCCGCCCAGGACAGACAGATAGCAGACAGTGGCAGCTGGCAAACAAAGGTGAGATTTGTTTTATTTAATAAAGAAATGCGGAGGTCTCTTTAAGGCAGATCAGCAAGGGTTTGAGCTAGTCTTTAATGGCAGATCAAAGATCTCAGTCAAGCGTGACTCGTAATATTCAATTGTAATGCTTGTCAGTGAAGCTCTTCTTCTTCTTCTATTCAACTTTTGGCGAAAAATATTATAAATACTCTGAAAAAAGTCTAGTCAAAGCACACCTAGGTAAATAACTCTTAACTGAAAAGATTTCCTATTATTAAACTCTTCCACCATTTGTAGCATAATCTAACAAGCCACGGGATGGAGTCTAGTTTGAAAACAGAATACCTCAGCTCTCCAATGTTTTCCAACATACAAGACGGTGTGGAGGATAATACCAATGCTTCTGAATATACAGAACACTTTCCAGCATCAGCTGTACAAACAGATATATGTGTGGAAGGGTAGGTATAAAATAATATGATTCTATATATTTTATTCTAATAAATATTATTTATTTCCACTCTTAATAGTAACGAAGGTTCACATTTCGGTGGCAATGTGTGTAAGTGAAGAGCTGGGAACAATTTATATTTAATTTCTTCACTAATTCCCACTTCTTAAAGTTTCAACGCCAGACCCGAGTAAGAAACTGAATTACGAAGACGCATTCGGCTACTGTAGCTATGCTCCATCCCAAGCTTTTAATGAAAATTGTGGTTCTCCTAATTTGCATGGCTGCTATTCCAATGAAAACAACTGCCTGATAACCAGCAATGAGGCAGCCAATCAAAATTATGCAGTTGATGCCAACGCTTGGGCGCAACTAAACCAAACCGAGTTTCAATACTCAAATCTAGGCAGTACAGTAAACTACACCAACATGGATCGTAATACTGCTGGATTGGATGGATATGATCCACAAGAGAGTCAAGATGGTGTTTCATACATGAATCAAGCCGCGTATCAATACTCCGATCTAGGTAATGTAGGAAACTACACCAATATGGATCGTAATACTGCTGGATTGGATGCCTATGATCCACAAGAGAGTCAAGATGGTGTCTCAAACATGGAGCAGCATGCATATGAGAACTGGTATCAGAGTATGAATGTCAATGCAGATCAATGGCATATAAGTCCCCAACAATTAAATGAAGATTATTATCAAAATACGAATTCGATGCAAAATCAAACAGATTTTATCTCCAATTATCAGTATTCGTACGGCAAGGGAAATTATTTTAATCATTTCCCAAATGGAACGCCTATGGATGCATTTTTGCCTGGAGGCACGAACGAAGCGTTTTCGTATTACAATGAGAATTCATTATGTCCAACCGATTATTATGAAGGTGAGGAACTATTACCGGGGCAAGAGAGCTACACATACATGAGTATAAACTCTCAACCTGTGTCGGACTGCACAAAATGCCAAATGAAATAGTTTCAGATGAACAGATAATTGTTGAGCTTGATTATTTGTGAAAGCTGAAAATTTATCATTTACTAAGCTTTATTCCAGACATTTCAGAGCGTATGTAAATTTCAAATGAGTCCAACAAATAAATAGGAATAATCCTCTAAAAATTTGTATTTAATTTTATCCACATAAAGATATGAATAGTGCAATGTATTTCTATTTCTATTTTAAAATAAACAAGTAAGAACGTTGCAGTCGGGCGTTACCGACTGCGGAATACTCATTCACATCCCATCAACTATAGYTAAGTTTYACTYTAATACTGTATAATATAGAGGCTTTTCCAATTTGCCACGCCCCTACTGGGCGTAGACACCTAATTTTTGGTTAGTTTCTAGAACGAGATAACAGTACCCTAACTGCAAAGTTTGAATGCTTACTCTCAAAAAAGTGAAAATTACAGGGTATTTTTCGATATGCCACGCCCCTAAAGAGACGTAAAAATTATTTTTTGGAGAATCGATAGAGGAGGCTACCAGTAACTCAACTATCCAAATTTGAAGCTTCTAGCTATTATGCTTTAGGAGATATAAATTTTTGCGGTTTGCCACGCCCCCTATGGGCGGACATATATCTACCATAGCTCGTTGGACTTGGGCGATCAACCCGCGTATATATACCAAATTTCAGATCTCTAGCATCAATAGTGCCTAAAATATAGCAGAATTCGAAAAATCACTATATCTTCAGGTCCGATTTGCCACGCCCCTAAGGGACGTAGATATATAATTTTTTCACCCATCTTCATAGAATTAAAACATTAGCTTACGTGCAAAATTTCAGCATTCTAGGTTTATAACTTTAGGAGATACAGTTTTGTCCGATTTGCCACGCCCCNTTTTTTTTTTTTTTTTTTGCTGCGTACACAAAATGTCCGAAAGAAAAACAAAAATATTTGTAATTTTGCTAAAGTCAATAATAATCATAAAATATGCTTAAAATTTTTATATTTATATATTTTGTTCTTTTAGTTGTTGTAAGTGTATCAAAACTGCTTAAAGTATGAAATTTGTATTTTAAATTTATTTTAATTCTTTTGTGTTTTTATTTTTACTTTTTGGTTCGGCGGTTTTACTGTAGTGTTTTTTGTTTAAATATTTTTTTATTGACACACATTAAATGTTTATGTTTTGTATATATAAAATTGTCTGCTTATGAACTATTTTGTACAATGTAGTTGTTGTCTTTGTTGTATTTCATTTGTTACATTTGTTGGTTCGGTAAGAATATCATAATTTGTAGTTTTGGTTGGGGGACTGGAATACATTTGTATTTTTTTACTCTAGTAGAAATGCTAAAATTTGACATTTAGTTGTATATATACTTAGTATGTAGTATGTGTGTATGTGGCATATGTATATGTATGATAGTGTGTGCTTAGTGTTTTGACGACTGTTTAGTTGTAGACACAGATTCTAATTAGTTGAATGATATACATATATAATATATATATTTTTTATTCGTTCCTTTAAATGAAAATATTGAAATGAATATGTTTTGCAGCTGCTACGCCTATTTGAACCAACTATTACAACCCGAAACCTTTACGACATTTTGAAACTTAGGCATACAAAATGCTCAACCTTTCGTACCCACTCGCTCCTACACTACCCAAACGAAATTTGGACACCAAAAAGTACCAATATTATATTATATCACTTTCAGCAAATTGATGACAAATTTCAAATTTTTGAATTTTGAATTTTCTTAAAAATCGTTTAAATACTAAAAATATATAAATTACATTTAGCACTTTCAACTTTACAAAAAGAATCAAAAATAAAACTCCATTCAAATCCATCCAACTCCTTCGTCTCCATCCTCGGAAAAATCACAATGCGCTTTGATTGAGCTGCCACCAAAAAATTAACTGTACAATAATAGTCAGTTTGTGTTTAGTCTTTGTGTCTCTTGGCCACATCTACTCCTGCTTCGCATCTGTCACATCTCCGGCCGCATCGGCTGCACCTCCATCCGCATTCGCCTCGCTTGCACCGCTGCTGCTAATCTCGAACGAGATCTGTATGACTGTCGGCCGGCGCTGTGCTGGATTGTAGCTGTACAGCCGCAAGGCGTAGCAGAAGATCTGGGCCAACAGCTCCCAGCAGCCAAACTCCGACATGGACATGGCGCCCTGTTCGCGGCCCAGCGGCACTGAAATGTTGGCGCGAAACTGTGAGCTGCCGCTGCGTTGTTGTTGTTGTTGCCTTTGTTGTTGTTGTTGTTGTTGTTGTGATTGCTGCTGTTGTTGTCGGGTCTCGTTTTGCCTGGCATTCGTTGGACTGGAGCCGACGCCGCCTCCTGCTTGTTGCGCACTTGCCTGTTGTTGCCTGCTTCTGGCCAACAGTTGCGCCTGATCGGGTATAAAGTAAGCGATTGCCATTGCTCAAATTGCTTTTTGTATAAATGTTTTTTTCTTATAGTTTAATAATTTAAATAAATGTCACTTATTGCACTTATTCACTCGAGTTTGTCACTTTTTTATGCGCCCAAGAACTTGTCTTTATTTGGCGCCAAAACGGAAACTTTGCGTTTTCAGTATTTGGGTTTTTACGTGAAATAATATTTCCGCTTGCGAGAGAGAGAGAGAGTGCTGCTCTAGCGTCTGTTGCTGCCTTTTCAAAGGTTCTGCGTGGACTGACTGTAAATATCCTTGCCGCAGTCACTTTTATCAAATCGCTGCGCTGCCAGCGACAACGACGACGTCGTTCGTGCTTCCTAGGAAGCAACACGGCGCTCGCTCAACGAAATGTCACCCCCCTTGGCAAACACACACACACACACACATACACACAGTCATAGCGGCAGTGGTGGAGTGGATGGAGTGTGTGTGCTTTGTTTATGCCAACAACCAACCAATTGAACCACCAACCACAGCCACTCACACCACAAGCTGTGGACGGTAAGCAGCGGGCGCAGTTCCCATTTGCCACCCCAGAAAAAAAAGTCACAGTCACGGCTGGGCTTTGGCTTTGTTACCTTGCCGCGAGAGCGTTAACTGCACTGAGCAAGAAAGACAGAGAGAGCGAGCGAGAGGGAGAGCAAGAGCGCGAACAAACGACCGAGGGCGCACACTGAGCGAACGAGCTCACACAGAAACCAGAGCGCGTTACGTTACGACGTAAAGTAACGTAAGCAAGCGACTGAGAGGGTAGCTAATGCAACTTTCGAACTAGGGGTATTCCTTCATACAGTGCGTGCTCTATGGGTTTGTTTGTGAGGGCAACCACTGAAGCGAGGGGAATCTTTTCGAACTTCGAATTCAGTTCGAGCTCTTTGCTCGACTGGGAATCAACAATTGTTTGGTTGTAGCCAGCCAATTCCCCTCATTTGAGAAATTGAGAGTCAATTAGTGTGTTGTGGTGTTATTATAATAATATAATATATAATTAGACCTTTATATAAATATATTTTTGTACATATTTCACTACCATTCCTTCACAGTATTTTCATATCGTTTAACAGTTCATTCATTCTATTGATTCTGCTCATTTGAAGGTTAAAAAGCAAACAATCAGCCTTTGTAAACTTGGCATCCATTGTTAGACCTTATATGTAATGATAACAATAGATATAAGGATTATGCTATGAAACAAGTAGAAAAAAGTACAAATGATCTATATCATTATTAAAGGCGATAAACTGAGGACGCGAGAGAATATTGAAAAATATTTAGGAATTGCCTTTTACCAACTTAAATAAAGAGTTGAAACAATAACAACCTTGGCAGCCTTAAAAATAAAATCTCCTGCTTGTACTCTCTTATATAATCAAAATTTATAGTTATATAAAACAAATTTATTTTCTTTAGACAACTGAGATTAAAGAGCATTTCCTTTTCTTATCAATGCTTAATAATTTTCTATTTTCAATTTAAGATGCTGTTTCCCAAACCTTCAACTTGTCCGGCACAACCAACTCAAACCAACGGGAGCACCAGCTTTAGCCTTGAAACAAACAGTTCCGGCTCCAGAGCAACAGCAAACATTCCCCAACTGCCTGACCTTGAAGTCCCCCATTATGCAACACAGCGAAAGAGCGAGAGCTAGCTCATCCATTATGATAAACCACTTCCTGCTAGTTTTTGCAGTCCACACACTTAAGTAAATGGCATTTCGACTTGCAACAATTTTGAGCAAATAAATGAAAATATTGACGAAGATTTAATACACTTTGTAAAAAAAAATTAAAACTATTATTTAGGAAAATTCTATAAGATGTAATAAATAAT